AGCCTCCTCTTCATGCCTAAACTTACAAACCTCTCTACATGGACTAATGGCGTTATCACTCCTGGTAAAATATGTACCTTAATGCGAGAGAGAAGAATTCGTTTGTTCTTCTCTCGTTTTCTCAGAAGTTTTCTTTAAACCTTGGAGGTTTATCTGGAGGAGGATTTCAGGGGAAAAGGTGCATCCACCATATAGGTCATCAGATAACGGCATGGGAACAGCCTCTTTCTAAGTTAGAAATCGCACTCACCCATGTTGGCTAGAGGAGGAATGGAGAACCTCCCACATAGCCAGTGATGAAGGATGTTGGGCATTGCAGAGGTTCAGAATTTGAAACCTGAAAGCCAAAGAAAGGAGCATGTTCCAGCCACATTTAATGATTCATTTCCTAGAATTTTCTTTAACTGTTTCAAACAAGTTTCTGGAACTTAAACCAACCACGTGAGGTGCTTCTCTACAGTGGAGGGTTGTTGGTAATTCCCTCTAAGTAGATTAACTCACCTTAAGTTCTTTCTCCGGCATTTTAAATAGCTCACTGATTAGCCTGTTGCCTTCCTGACGCTTCAAGGGGTTTGCTCTGGTGAAAAAAGGTAAGAAATACCCTTACTGTGTTTCATTACAAACATAAATTAACTATAGAATATAAAATCTGTTTTGTTTTCAGTTTGGTTTGGTACCCTGCTCAAGCAGGCCTTTCCAAGAATGTTACACGCAGTACAAGAATTTTAAAATGGTTGCAATAAGAGCAAGTGAACCAAGTTCTTGTATTGCCTACAGATCAAACCAATGTTTTCATAAATATTGTTTTGCTCAGAGGCAGATGTCTTTGTGCTTAGTAAATGGTTTTAGTTACATTTATGTTTTAATTGTTTAATGGGTTTTTTAACATTTTATTTTTAATTGTTCTGTTATTGTACACAGCCCAGAATCACATTTGTGAGATGGGCAGCTCTATAAATTTGATAAATAAAATAGTCGGCTCACTTTCATTTGCCCTGCTATTAGTCTGTTGTGCTCTTCAGCCCTTTTTGGGCATCAGCAGATGGCTAGGGTCCAAGTTTTGTGTGCGAACAGAACAGTTTGCCCTGCTTCCTGTTGCTTTGAATATTTTTTTATTTATTTTATTTATTTTATTTATCAAATGTATATGCCGCCCCTCTCCCCCAGAGGGTGACTCTGGGTGGCTCACAGTTAAAATAAAACCTCAAAAACAGTTAAAAATATAAATAACACATTCATTTAGTTAAAAAGCCGAATATTCTATATTCAAAGAAATTTTGAAAAGAATGAAACCCATACAAAGTTTGGAAGAAAAAAGTAACGAAAGTAAAGAAAAGAAATAAGTGAAAAAAAGTGCAAAGAAAGAAAGAGAGAAAAAAAGGAAACGTTACAAAGAATGGCTTCCCATCTCCTTAACAGCAGTTACACGTACATTTATATTTTACCCTCTCCTTCTAAGGTTACAACCTCATTTCCTTCTTTCCATAGTCTACCCTTTCTAATCATCCAACCCGTAAATCACAAGTTCATTTTTTTCTTTTTCTCAGGAAAAACTCCATAAGGGGTTTCCAGTCACTAATAAATGTAATTATTGTCTTTTCTCTAATCAAACAACTTCCTGTTGCGTATCTATTATTTAATTTTTTTTTTAAGTCATGAAGAAAACCATTCCTCTCACCGCCACCCATTTTGCGTTCTTCTCTCTCTCAGCTCCCTGCAAAGATGTGCGACCAGACCTTCGCGGTCAATATTTTTGGGCCGTGTGACAATTGCTCCAAAGAGAAAGTTCTCCAGCAAGTATACTGCAAATTGGAGAAACGCAGCTGCTGCTCGCTGTGCGTGAAACTGGTATGGCCTGCAACTGTTTGAAGGCTTTTTCTGGGGAATAAGCTGGATCTGATGTGGGGCCCTTCTGTTTTGGATGTCTCAGGAGACAAAAATGGAGCGAAATCAATCCAGGAGGGAACTGCTATAAATTCTGAGGTAGTTGGGCGAGCTTCCATAATTGTTATGGAATCAGTGACCAGAATGTGCTTCTCCAGTGCAAGATACATAATCCTGAATTGATAGGCATGGATACAAGGGTGGTCAGGTTGTAAAATAGCTCCATAAATTCCACAATATGATTCAAAGGCCCTGATACAGCGGAGCTGAAAATCTCTGAACCCAGTCACAGATTACCTGTGGGTCTTTGTAGATACCAACTTGGATTTCATCCCATGCTATTTGTTTCTCCTGATGCATTTTAAAAATCTTCCTTTCAAAAATCCTCCTTTCAAAAATAAAATCCTCCCAACCCTTGGGTGAGGCATGAGAAGTCCTGGGTCACTGGGTCTGTTACGATCCAAAGGCTGTATTCTCACAATGTGCTACATTTGGGTAGCCTTAACCTCAGTTAATTTTTTGTTTTGTGGCTTCGCACATGGTGTGAACCCAGTCCTAATAGCTAGTTTGAGATTCAGCGCATTGGGGTAACCCAGAACGTGTCAGATATGTTTTGACAACCAAGGAAGCTCATCAGTGAGAGGACCTGAATCTCTCTCCCCCGATCTGGACCACACTTCCCCAACCCTTCCCATTCAGTTGCATTGGACTAAATTCCCATCACTGCCCACTCAGCATGATCGTGGGAACCAAGCTCCAGATGCATTGGTTCTTTTGCTCTTATCCCCTCCACTAATTGGGCTACAATTCTCATCACCCTGGCTAACCAGCGAGGCATGATGTCGTCTTGTCCTCCACATCTGGAGAATTGCTTTAGAGCAGTGTTTCTCAACCTTGGCGACTTTAAGATGGGTGGACGTCAATTCCCAGAATTCCCCAGCCAGCATGGCTGGCTGGGGAATTCTGGGAGTTGACATCCACCCATCTTAAAGTTGCCAAGGTTGAGAAACACTGCTTTAGAGGGACCTTCTTTTCCTCTGCTATGGATCTTCTGAGAACTGAAAAGAGATCATGTGGAAAGCAAACTGGCTCCCAACCTTACAATTCCTCCCTTGGACTTCATATACCTTCCTTCCTTCCCCAAGACCCCCTCGCCTTCCAGACCTCTGGAGCAGCTTTTCCTGCAATCCCCCCTGCGCAGCCAACAGTCCCATCGTCGCCCAGGGGCACCCAGTTGGGGAAGGCCGGGCCCAGCCGTTCCATCTCTCCTTCGACCTGGCGGAACTTCGTAGCGCA